AAATTTTCTCTTTGATCATGAGCTCCAACACTTTTGGGTAAAATGTATTACATAATGTACTGTATAATGTGTGTATAAGACGTATTTTAAAATCTTTTACTTTATCGTCTCAAAATATAAAAGTTAAACGTTTTAAATTGAATTTGAAATAATGATTCAAAATTTTTATTGTAGATTTACAATTTTGAGATCGTTTAAAATAAAGAATGCGCGTATTATATATTAAATATTTTAGTTCCAACCTAATTGCCCAACTTTTATTTAGAAGTCATAGTCACTTCATAAAGTAATTACTGACTGATTAATCTGGACTACACATTTACAAAATAATAAGAGTAAACTAAACACTTCTAATTTAAATTAATGACAGCTCGCTTATTTTTGTTAAACAATTTTTATTTATTCTTATTAAAAAACCGCACGAATTTCTTAATAATTGAAAGGAGAGATGAGTTGCTTATTCACATCGTAACATTACGTACACAAAAATTATTCATATATATTTCGTAACTTATTTTTATTATTGAAACGATTAAAACAGAAAAAATTATCAACTTTCAGATTATTTGATTAAATGAATGGATTCACGTTATACATTTAATAAGGATTAAATCTAATAGACATTATCAGCGTCAGTCGACTTTTAAGTTACATTTTTCTTTATCATAATGAAATATTAGTACCGATTTTTTTTTTTTTTTAATATTTCCTTTCATATTATCCGTACATAAAATTTTATAATTGTCAATAATCCGTCTTCATAATTATAAATTATAATGTATAATGCTTGTAGCCGATGGCTATAAAAATTACTTAATGACAATCGAAAAATGTATAATTAGTTAATAATATAATAGTTAAATGAGGGATCCTATGGATGTCGGTTATATTGATGTTAATATGAATGTGCCTAATGTAAGTATATCCGGTCTTGTTGCGTTTGGCTACTAACTACGTATAATAAAATCATTTCGCAGTTGTTAATGTTTATCCAGCCACACTTAAATCTTTTAAATAAAATAGATGTTTACACATACCAAACCTAAAAGTACCTCAATATTTCAATTCAAAAACTGTCCCTGTGTTTATTCCTTTAAAATAGAGAAATGAATAAGCATAGATAGATCAAGATAGTAAGCGGAGATTAGGGAGTCCCTTTGTATTTTGGAGGGCTTCACAGCTGGCATGCAACATATTTCATTAAATGAAAATTTTTTTCTTATAGTTCGATGTAACGAAATAGCTACTAAGACATTTGTCTTCAAGTATCTTTATGTTGTATTTCTAATTAGTATTTTAAAAGATAAATAATTTCTTAATATCATAAATATTAAAATAATTTATGAATGCTTAGGATTGGAATGTTAGGATTAATAGAAATTAATACAAAAAAAAATAATAGTAATGATAATAATAATAATAATAATAATAAAATTAATAAAAAGAAAATAAATAAAAAAATAATAGAATAGAAATTCTACTTCTACTAATAAATGTTGGAAAGCTGTCGAAACGGGCATCGACGAAAAATTTTAATTAAATATTTGATTAAATAACCTGCTGCATCTGGATGATTACATGACTCAATTTTTACTTTCGCTAATGTACATATGCATACGGGCACGGGTGGCTGCATATTTTCACCCACATCGCTGATCACAGAATAACGAGTTTTAAATGAAAAATATTACTGAGATGACGAACCGTCTTATCTTTACCATGACAGGCGCGTACGCATGTGCTTCTTATTTTAATGTATTCCGTATGAAATAATTTAAGTTTAACAGTATTTTGAATTTGCTTGAGCTGTCGGAAAACCAATTACTTATATAATAGTAGATATTAAAATGGAAATTTCATATCTACAGTAAATAGAGAATTTTACGTGTTTAATAAAAATACGACCTTGGATAGATTAGTAATCAATTATTATGCATAAAATATCTAAGCTATTTTGATTAATTCTAGTGTTATAAACAATAGTTTTAGATACAGTTGGTATCTAAATCAAAATTAATTTAAATAATACGAATCTTTTTTATAAGAATCCATGTTTCGTTCGTAAAATACTTTGTAACGTTAGTGCAAAAATTGCAATAAATTTATGCCCTTAACGGTTCAAACTCAATTTCAACAAGGTTTTTAGAGAATTGTAATTGAAACTTTATAAATGTGTCAGTCCTTCTATCGTACTATTAAGTTTTTAAAGATTATGTTGATTATTTGCCAGAATATATATTATTAGTATATATTCTGCTATTAAAAAAAAAAATGTTAAAAAAAAACATCAATACAAGAGGCATAAAAAAAAATATGTATATATATATTATAGTTTCTTTTCACATTTTATGCCTCTTGTATTGATGTTTTTTTTAACATTTTTTTTTAAATAGCAGAATATATAGTAATAAAATAATAAATTAGTTAATTATAAAAATAATTTTTTTAACTTAACTGTAAATTAATATATTTTTTTATGTTTTTATTTGAATAATGATATAAAATGAAAGTAAATGAATTTTTATGTGTGTGATTGAAGTATATAAAAGATAAATATGTAGATAACGATGATTCATTGATATTTACTTTAATAATTAAGTGTGGCCTTACTTTATCTGTATATATGCATTTAAAGATACAAACTACTTATATAATAAATTTAATTACAATTAATAAGTACTCGTTAAATACGATTTGATTTATCTATAATGAATGTTCGGATTTACACATTTTCAAAATAGTCAAAAAATTTTTTTACATAATTAATAAATGTCGCAAATTCTACTGGTTATTAGACGAATTAGAAAATTAATAAAACATTTTAACATTACGATTAACAGCGTAGGAAAGTAATGTGTTACTTACTCTATATTAGAGTATTTATAAATGTTATTGGTTGATAAAAAGATTGCATGGATAGTTGATAATTCTAGAAACTATGAACGCAATAATATTTTTTTTTAATTTAACAAAATACTAGTAAATTATTAAGTAAATAAATTTTTTTTTATTCATAAAATGCAGATGATACTATGAATACTGTAAATGTTTCTTATTGAAATATTAAATTATAAATGTATTATTCAATGTATTTATTATGTACAATTATTATAAAAAAAAGAATTAAATCATTTTAAGAGATGCACCACCTACATTAATACAATTCGAAAATTCTAGTGCATAAAATGAAATCATCGAGCTACGGACACGCAACAATAGCAGCTGTTTCTCTTCAATTAATTATAAATGTAATATTTTTCCACAGTATTACAAACTATTTTGTATACAGTCCTAATTAGATGACGATATACCTTTAATTTAAAGAGAAGGGAAAAGTCGAATATCATGTGAGGTGTTCTTTACGTTATAGTTCAGTGAATGAGCTGCTTATAAGAGAGAGAGAGAGAGAGAGAGAGAGAGAGAGAGAGAGAGAGAAGGAGAGATTGAACAAACTCGAGGGTAAGCGGCAAGAGCGATTTTCATCTCAGGATTTTGGGAATGTCGGAAGTACAGGACTGGGAGAGTTTGAGTAGGGGAGTAGGCGTAAAAATTATAATAATATTACTATTATTATTATTATTATTATTATTATTATTATCATTATCATTATTATCATTATCATTATTGTTATTATTATTATTATTATTATTATCATTATTATTATTATTATTATTATTATTATTATTATTATTATTATTATTATTATTATTATTATTATAGACAACAGCCGTAATAAATAGAAAATAATAAATGTAAATAATAATAATAAGTAACGCGTGTTAAAACGGTAGATCCGTGGTAGAATCGGCGACTTCGCTTTGCAAACAGTTATGCGGGCACTGACATTATACAATTTGCGTTAATGCGGTTCCTATGTATGCAATAATGCGTATGGATAATTATAGAGGTGTTGCGCCATCTATGATTGCTACTTGATTGATACTATTGATATTGATAGGTCAGGGTAATGAGGGACATTCGAGTTATTGATATCGACTTGAATCGCGCGTGGTTGGGTGGAGTGGATTTATCCACTAAAAGTCTATAAAGCATAAGGCATACGGTAGTCCGATAGCTGGTGCTGGGCAAAAAGTCGACGACGGTCGAGGAAAAATCTCTGGTGAATCCGACACGTTATGAGGTAATAGTTTGGCCCGATGGGTTCTCGCCGACGTAAAAGTAATGATAGGAGATAAGATGAAAAGGGTCATAAAGAGCGAACGGTGGTAGATGGTTAGGGTCAGGTGGGGTGGGGCGGGGGTTGACGAAAGCGATCAAATAAAAAGCGCGGGGAAAGAATTCGGGCACGGGTCGAGCGATAAAAAAGGCTGATTCTGGAGATGTCGATCGGGAAAGGCTCGTGCTCTTTTCTCTCTCACTTTAATACGCTCTCGGGCGGCTTAACGGGGAAAAGTAACGACGAGGACGACGGCACGGTTTCCTCGTTCGAAGGAAGAAAGAAGGCGCAGGAGCCGAGCACGAGGGGCTGCAAGGGTCGGCGGCGGCGGTGGCGGTGGTGGTGGCGGTGGCGGCAGCGGCGCGGTGTCGGCGGTGGGGAGGCTGTGAACCCCGGGGGCGTCGAGTGCGGTGGGGCGTGGAGGGGGGTTGGGGGGGGATGG